TTACAACATTTAGTACCTGTATTATCTGCCAGTAGTTAATATATATCTGTACCATGTGACCATGCAGACTAGGCTGTCTTTGCCGGGCTCCCCCCAATTACAGCCTTGGACCTGTAGACTAACAGGACATTATGCCATTATCTACAGGCTCCAATTATGATACACCAATATTAACTACACTGGCAGATAGCATATATCAGCTGCCAATAGCAGTCATACAGAGTAGCCCCAAGAATGCCAAATTGTTATAATTATGTAGTAAACAATTATGAGTAAATAAACAATATTTCAACTATACTTTCTGTCTTTATTGTTTTGTATAAATTTTAATTTCTACAATAATACCAGATCGTGTGTAAAGAATGGAAAGGAACAAACAGATTTTTTCATGTGTAATATCGGAGTTAGGCAAGGGGAAAATGTATCCCCTTTCTTATTTTCTATTTACTTGAATGATTTGGAAGATTACTTTATACAAAATGATGTGGATTGGCTTAAAGATATTGGTGACCACTGCCAGAATTTCATTGGTACATACATAAAGTTATTTATCCTTTTATATGCAGATGACACAGTTATATTATCTGAATCTGCGGAAGGTCTACAAAAAGTCCTAAATGTATTTGGTGATTATTGTAAAATGTGGAGGTTTAAAACTAATGTTCAAAAAAGTAAAATTGTTACCTTTCAAAAAAGGAAAATATGTCTAAATTTTACTTTTACCTTATTTGATAGTGAAATTGAAATCGTAGATTCATATCCATACCTCAGTATAATTATAAATTATACCGGATTATACCGGGAACTACGGTTAAAGCTAAAAATATAATTGTTCAGCAAGCACAAATAGCATTGTTTGCTTTATATAGAAAGATAAGAAATATTAGGTTGCCTATTGATCTACAATTGAAATTATTTGATACTTTAGTTAATCCAATATTATTATATACTGATGAGATATGGGGCTATGAAAGTATCAATATCTTGGAGACAATCCATCTGCAGTTTTTAAAAAGAATACTTAATATGGAGAAATGGGAGGATTTCCTCTAGATATAGAAATTAAAGTGAGTATGATTTTGTTTTGGCATAAATTAATAACCAACATTAATAAAATAGCCAGCTATATGTATAGAATATTGCTAAAAATCCATGAAGAGGGGTATAATCTTAAATGGATACATTCTGTGAAAATAATTTTAAATGACATAGGTATGAATTTTGTATGGACATTTCAACAGGTTTATACAATAAAACCCTTGCCTAAATGTTAACATGGTTTCTGCAAAAACAAGTATGAGGATTTGCTTCATGTAATACATTTTGGAAGGTTTGAGTTAAAATCCGCACTATTTCTCAAGTAGGTATATCGCTCTGCAGCAGAAGATAACCTATTCCTCTTGGCCTGTAGAATAATTGTGCGGTTCTGACTGGCTGTCGTACATCTTGGCCTACCATCGCTGTGTGTCTGGCAGACAGAACCACTTGTCTGAAAGCGTTGCCACAATCTACCAATTACACTTTGACTGACGTTGAACCTTGGGGCCTCATTTCGCTGAGTAATGCCAGTTTAAAACATTCTTATGGTACCACCGGCCTGCTGTACGCACAAGTGCTGTCCGTTTGTGGCATTTTTATTAAATATGGTATAAATTTAATAACAAATTCAACAACTGCTAAATTAGAGATGTTCACGTCGTTAACCAATATTTCTTGATGACCATGCTGACTGAATGTCGTGCTCCAGATGCACGTGCACATCATCGAGAAAACAATAATTTTTAAAACAGACAGCGGTCATTTCATTCCGGGAAATTCTTTCTATTTTCTTTATAAATTGTCTTCTTGCTTAAAATATGACCCTTACCTTTTTGCTGAGAACATAATTATTAAGGGTCTTAAACAAGTTTCTAGAACTTTTATATGGAATAGGAAAGTGTTTGGTGGCCCGCATGTTGTGATAGAAATGCTTGGATTCAGCTTTTTTGTGCGGGTTTATAGTGGGTTACTTTTTGATTTGGTGTTTCTTCATTACCTTTCTGTCTATCCGTATCGATAGTGTCTTTATGTTGTGTATTTGGGCTTTGGTTTATACCTTCAGACACTTTTTCCATGATAAATATTTTTGAGATATATAAATACTTCATTTCTTGGTAATTCTAGCGATTACTTTATGCAACAAGGTAGTTGTCTCTGCTGGTGGACAACCTGTTCCAAAGGTTGACCGTACTCTGCTGGTGGACTATCAGTCCACCGAGGTGAAGCCGTGTGAAATAGTTCATGTCAGGGGAGGACAATAAAAGTGCTATTTCCCGAAATACCTATAAAAAAAACTGTTTTATTATACCAACAACAAAATAATTCCATTTCTTTTATAACAATGTCCTCTCAGGACTGAGAAGCCAAAATTTGTAACGTTAAAAGGGGTTTAAACACACAGTTTTCTGACCTATCTATACACGTGTTTTGGAACACATTAGCCATGGAGTTTGCATCCTTTTGCTGCTCTATACACGTGTTTAGAACACATTAGCCATGGAGTTTGCATTCTTTTGCTGCTCTATACACGTGTTTAGAACACATTAGCCATGAAGTTTGCATCCTTTTGCTGTTCTATACACGTGTTTCGGAACACATTAGCCATGGAGGAGTATAAATCCTTTTGCTGTTCTATACACGTGTTTAGAACACATTAGCCATGGAGTTTGCATCCTTTTGCTGTTCTATACACGTGTTTAGAACACATTAGCCATGAAGTCTGCATCCTTTTGCTGTTCTATACACGTGTTTTGGAACACATTAGCCATGGAGGAGTATTCATCCTTTTGCTGTTCTATACACCTGTTTTGGAACACATTAGTCATGGAGGAGTATTCATCCTTTTGCTGTTCTATACACCTGTTTTGGAACACATTAGTCATGGAGGAGTATTCATCCTTTTGCTGTTCTATACACGTGTTTAGCACACATTAGCCATGGAGGAGTATTCATCCTTTTGCTCTTCTATACACGTGTTTAGAACACATTAGCCATGAAGTCTGCATCCTTTTGCTGTTCTATACACGTGTTTTGGAACACATTAGCCATGAAGTTGTCATCCTTTTGCTGTTCTATACACGTGGTTAGAACACATTAGCCATGGAGGAGTATTCATCCTTTTGATGTTCTATCCACGTGTTTAGAACACATTAGCCATGGAGTTTGCATTCTTTTGCTGTTCTATACACCTGTTTTGGAACACATTAGTCATGGAGGAGTATTCATCCTTTTGCTGTTCTATACACTTGTTTAGAACAAATTAGCCATGGAGGAGTATTCATCCTTTTGCTGTTCTATACACCTGTTTTGGAACACATTAGCCATGGAGGAGTATTCATCCTTTTACTGCTCTATACACGTGTTTAGAACACATTAGCCATGGAGTCTGCATCCTTTTGCTGTTCTATACACGTGTTTTGGAACACATTAGCCATGAAGTTGTCATCCTTTTGCTGTTCTATACACGTGGTTAGAACACATTAGCCATGGAGGAGTATTCATCCTTTTGATGTTCTATCCACGTGTTTAGAACACATTAGCCATGGAGTTTGCATTCTTTTGCTGTTCTATACACCTGTTTTGGAACACATTAGCCATGGAGGAGTATTCATCCTTTTGCTCTTCTATACACGTGTTTAGAACACATTAGCCATGAAGTCTGCATCCTTTTGCTGTTCTATACACGTGTTTTGGAACACATTAGCCATGTAGGAGTATTCATCCTTTTGCTGTTCTATACACGTGTGTAGAACACATTAGCCATGGAGGAGTATTCATCCTTTTGATGTTCTATCCACGTGTTTAGAACACATTAGCCATGGAGTTTGCATCCTTTTGCTGTTCTATACACGTGTTTAGAACACATTAGCCATGGAATTTGCATCCTTTTGCTGTTCTATACACGTGTTTTTGAACACATTAGCCATGGAATTTGCATCATTTTGCTGTTCTATACACGTGTTTAGAACACATTAGCCATGGAGTTGTCATCCTTTTGCTGTTCTATACACGTGTTTAGAACACTATAGCCATGGAGTATTCATCCTTTTGACCTTTAGTACCACTGATGTGTCCTAAATTGACAAATTTGACGTATGGTTCAGTTAAATGTTTACTTAGTTTAGCTTCCTACATCTACAAACAATTTTGAAAACATATGCTTCATTTCTTTTCATTTCTAGTGATAATTTGATATAATTACTCTCTTTATCTATATATTGCCGTTTATTTTGCAACACCACTGTTACATCTTCTATCATATTGTTAGGTAGTTGCTCCTATGATTGTAGGATTACAACTTATCACTGTTTGAATTGATTTTAGGACATTGCAATAATTTTTTGTCAGTCTTTGGAGTCATTAGTCTCTATTTCATTAAATTCCAATGTCACCATATTGGTCTCCCTTCATACGAGTGCAGGGCGTGTTCCTCAGGGCGTGTTCCTCAGGGTGTGTCCTCAGGGTGTGTTCCTCAGGGCGTGTTCCTCGTCTTCTTCTTGTGAGTTTAGAAGTATGCACTATGACATATAACTACAGTATGGCAAATATGGTCACCTCACTACCGAACTGTAAGAAATGTAATTACCTCAACTTTATTATGATTAACTTTTCTTTCCTCAATAGCAACATGTTAACTTTTTATGAACCTATCAATGATCCAGTTGACTTGCTATTTCATCGTCTGTTAATATAAGACTATAAATAATAATATGATTGTCATGATATAATCATCCTTTGAACTGACGACAACTTATTTCTGTTATATTTGTTTATTCTGGATTTCCTTATAGAATTTGAATTCTGGTTTTGTTTTTGTGTATTGACACTCATTTTCTCTCTTTTACTTTCCTTTCCAGCATACAAGGTTGGACCGAACCTCTTACAAACGTAACATGATTATTCTTTAGTCGTATTAAACTTATGTAAACCTTAAAAAGAAAAGAAAAGAGTTGTCGTTTTGGTTTACATATAGTATTTATTACATTTTGTTTATGTAGATAACGAATTGTGTGCACCTGTAGCTTTTTAATCATGAGCTTTGGAACCTGTTAACCCTTTCACCCCTATGTAACTTTGATAAACTCTACTATGCATTGATCTGGATAAGTCCATTATGGTCTACAGTGGTGAAAGGGTTAATTTACACCATGTGGATAACATAAAGCATGTCTACAAAGAATTGAAATTTCTATAACCATGGCACGAAACTAAAACATGAAATCTGTTTTAGAGTTTCACATCCAAAAAGTAAGCCTTGAAGATCAACATAAAATTAACACAGTTCCAATGTGACCCATATTTCTATAGCGTGACAATCAGCTAGGCTTTTGAGTCAGTTTTGTCAATTTTTACAATTTGAATGTACAACCTGTAGTTACAGTTCTTTACCCCACTGGACATCTAACAAGAAAACTAGTAATTATAATTATTGATGATATAGACTGCTGAAGGTCATGACAGCATTGTGTGCCTTTTTGCACTTGTACATGTAACACAATATGATGATTTTCTTGGATAACAGCTGTAGTTGATGTTAGTTTTACCTGTATTACTGTAATTATGTCACAGGTGTAATGACACATAATGTCTAGTAAACATGTTCTGGTCAATATTGTTAAACAATTTACTCCAGCATCATCTTCACCTCTGAGCTGGACTATCATACTCTTTATTGATAATATGATTCATACAAGCACATGGTTTGGTTTCAAATGTGATTACCAAAGACAAAAGTTTTCACCTATAATTATTTCTTTTTTTTTAACTTCTGCTTTCCAGCAAATGTATCAGCTGTCTTTCTGAGTTATTTCCGCAGTTTCAGTAGATTCTGATTGGTCAATTTTTCGCTTGGTCCCACTGACGCGTTCTTGCTTTTTCTCCAGGTAGTCTTTCATATTGTCAATCTTGACCTTTCTCAAACCCTCGGGTAGGTGGGTGTACATTCCAACGGATTCTGTGTCAATAAATCGTAAATTGATACACTTAGTGTCAATAGACATATACATTACCACTCGACCTACAGTACCAGACATTATCATATGTTTATATATATAGAACAACAACAGTGTAGGATATGTTTAAAATGATGTACACATGGTTATCAATTGCATAACAAAGAAGACATGTTTTTAGATAGTATGGCAATGTACATCGTGTGACAGAGTAGAACTTTTTATATCTATATAGTTTAACCCTTTCACCACTGTAGACCATAATGGACTCATCCAGATCAATGTATGGTAGAGTCTATTAAAGTTACCGAGGGGTGAAAGGGTTAACAATGTATGGTTAAAGTATTACACATGTTGGATACCCCAGGGATTACGCTCACTTACGCTCTCTGCACTCCTGGAATATGTCATAGCAAATGAAGGCGCATGGCTAGCTATTTGATTAGTCCAAAGTAAAAAATATCTGACAGATCTCTAAGGTGATACCTGTCCTTTGACAATTACTGAGGAGCGACACCCGACTTCAAAGCCAGTCAATGTGACCATTACGCGACCCACAGAATCTTTTGATGTACTTCAAAGGATCAAGCTAGTCTTCTTGTCTCATCAACAGGGTGGTGCACACCGAGTCTTTGGCTTTGTGTTGACATTTTCCAGGGTTGCAGAGAGCAAAACTCAGCATAACCACTGGAGTATCGAGGATGAGTATTACACTGTAGGCCATGTTTACATTGTAGGGAACAAATGTAAGCTTTTTAACATAAGAAAGCTTTGAAGAGAAGCTAGTAAACAGAGAATATATTACGTCAGTGTAGTATTACCTTCAAAGAATTCCCAGCTAGAGTTGATGGCCTCCAGCAATAAACTGGCCCTACATCTTTTCTCCTCCGTGGTTAGGATCCTCATCTGAAAATACATTGGTTTATTATACAATAGTTTTCAGTGTTGTCATTTTGAATTAAAAAGACTTATGTGTGTGCTGACATTGAGTTGACTTCAGTTTGGAGTCCTAACATACATCTATCATACAGAATATTGACACGGTATCCCACACTGCTTATTTTTCAGTTTTCATTAAAACACATTTCTTCAAATTCACATATAACTCTCCCTACCATATACCATACAACTCTCCCTACCATAAATGCCTCGTTGTTCCATTGATACACCCTGGCACAGTCCCCTTCCTTGGGTTGTAGAACCCAAAAGTGATGATCACAGTCAAAACAGATATCCCAGGGTTCCACATCAGTTGTCATGGAAACAGACTGCTTCAGTGAAGTCCCTAACTCGGAATTCTCTAGCCTGAACACATACACAATGTTGGATCTACAAGAACAGAAAACCAATACTGAGACAAATTTTATGATCATGTACATATTCTGAAGTCTTTGATCCAACCTCAACCAACTCTCCATTAAGTACTTTTCCCAAAAAACATCATTCTAAAAGCATCAGATAAACACTTATGTACTGGATAAACATTGAAAGAGTTCTCTGTTTACGATTTATAGGTAAAAACGTTCATGTTAACTTTGAAAAATGCAATATCATAAAACAGTGCCATGCCATATCCAATTTTGAACGTCTGTTTACATTGTTGCAAAGACTGATTATTATGAATGGGTCAAAAAAGTAATACCAATGGTATGGTAAAGTTCCCATATAACACTGGATCCTAACAAACACTACTATATAACACATAACTAATGACTTAGGGTTGGTATATGGGGCACGGAAGTAATCCCAACAGTGCATGTAGACAATATAAAGTTGTCCAATTTTTCTGAGCAATTTAGTTTTTCGGATTGCTCCAAAAATTTGGCAACTTCATATTTTCTATTTTCTGTCGGAATTACTTCCTTGTCTGATATATATATCTAACTCTGATAAGCTAAATCAAAAATCTGAAAACACATTTAGTACATGTATAATCTTGTGATATGACAAGTTTATAATACATAATTCCTCAACCCTAGCCGTCCCCCCCCCCCCCCCCCCCCCCCCCCATTTGCGTCACCCATGGGAGAAAATTTGTGTTATCTATTAAAATTTTCTTTACTTAACTATATATTACACACAATCTTATTCAATTTTAAACATACCAACAACAAATAGCTTTGTGTCGTCCGTTAAAATCTGCCTACCTGTTCTACATTAAACACAACCACATTCCGTTTAAAACCTATCTCACCCATAACAAACGGCTGCCAGTACACCAGTGTCTGGATCGTAGGACAGCTTCTTCACCCCAAAGTCTCCATGATCTTGAGATGACCTCTGACTTTCATCAACACAAACTGCCCCAGCAAGTCTCTCTCCACTCAAGGTCCATACAATTATCTCCCCTTCCTGGAGAAAACAACAAAATATCCGATATCAGAGTTAAATCATGGGGTATGTACAGCACAGCTTTGATAATCGAGTGTTCCAAGCTTAAGTGGCTGGACGCTAAGATATCTCTATAAAGGTCAGTGATTCCCCTAAACCATTGTCAGGACACCTGGAATATTGATGGCCGCATTAATGAGACTTGATTATATATCATGAGAATGTACTATTAGTTAAACTGCTCCTATTCTTAGGACTTGTAATATTATGGCAATATGTAACGGGACTGACCAACCACTATTTGTTCTTACATTATTGCTTTCACTTATTCCAACTTACAATGCATTCCATAAAATAAAAGGAATTTCTATTTCTTTTAACATTAATTAAAGGAAATACATCACTTCAAAACTTTTTCTTTAAATCAACTCTGTAAGAAAACAATTCTCAGAATTTACATTTACATGACATAAAGCTGTAAATACTCTCAACATACATTTTCTTATTTTACATGATAAAAAGAATGCAATGTTAAAAAACATTGTATCTAAACGGAAAAAATTGAATATTTTTAAGTACAATTTTAAAAATAAGATCAATAATAAAGTGCTGCATCATGTTTCTTTCTCTGCGTAATTTGTCAATCTGTTGACATATTGATCCCGCTCTATCACGTAATCGGACAGCTTGTAATTAGCATGAATACACTAAAATGACCAACAAAGAGCACACAAACAATTGTGGTGACAGCTTTTACCAGTGGTTGGATGATAGAAATAAAAACACCATTTATATTGTATTGATTTTCACTTCATAATTTGTTCACAATATATTCTGACAGCAACAGGACTGAGTGATTATGGTAAATAATTCGGATTGTGAGTTAAATGTAGAGCTTTAATTACATTCTCCTGAAACTTACCTGGACGGGGAGTATACAGGTAGACTGACAATGTACGTCAGATTGATGAGATAAAGACAATCTGTTAAGGCCTACGATTCACAGAAAGCCCGCCACTGAAAAGCTTCCCATTGTACACCTAATTGATTTACACCGATCAATTAGTTTGAAATATTTCCAGGTATTTTTCGCGAACATGAGGTACGTTGAACAATAGTTAGATTTTATTACCGCAGTCTCGTATTGCTAACCACATTAACCCGTACACACAGGCTGATATATCATCTGTGCTTCACTAACACACGCCTCTCTGGATCAATGTTTCCTAGAATTGGCCATCATTTGACCGTTGTATTAAATTATAAAATACATTTACATGATAATAATTAAGTTTAGAAGAGGCACAGAAGACTATTAACATCACGGTAACTCACCTGTCTCATCTGTACCATCTGGTAATTAACAGGTAAATACAAATCTACATCACAATGGTCAAGCACTGAATCCGACATATTCAAAATCAAGCTTGTGTATAATTACAGAATAAATCAGTCGCTGACATATTGCATTTACTTGCTGAGAAGGATCAATTGTGAAAATAATACACATTGCTATATAACTCTATTGCTGCATTTTCAGAGTCAATTTCGGTTAAATAGCAGTTTATCGCCTCGATCTTTAACTTGGGCATATTAATTAACCAAACTTGTTTGAGCTTGTTTTCATTGTCACACTAACTGTGCTGCAAGAAGAGTCAAATGAAACTTTTTGTTGTTTGAATATTTTGTAAACAATACATGAACAGTCTTATTTGACAATGTTGAAACGCTCTGAAAGAATATAGCACAATCTTGTAGTAAGGTCTTGGTCAGTTCCTAATGTCTGAAGAAATATTGTTGGTCTCATGATCATTATTACTGATATTAAGGATACATGTCCCACTGCAGTATGTTTGTTTTTGTAAACACAGTAACCTCCCCTTAATTTCAATAAGGATATAACTGTAGCACAGTTGGGCCTAGACACTTCTGTCTGGTCAACAGTTCAGTTGGTTCAGAGCGATACTATAACAACCTGATGTCTAGGGTTCAAATCCTACCCTAGTCGCGATACTACAACAACCTGATGTATAGGGTTCCAATCCTACCCTAATGGCGATACTACAACAACCTGATGTATAGGGTTCCAATCCCGCTTTAGTCGCGATACTATAACAACCTGATGTCTAGGGTTCCAATCCTACCCTAGTCGCGATACTATAACAACCTGATGTCTAGGGTTCCAATCCCGCTCTAGTCGAGATACTATAACAACCTGATGTATAGGGTTCCAATCCCGCTCTAGTTGCGATACTATAACAACCTGATGTCTAGGGTTCCAATCCTACCCTAGACGCGATACTACAACAACCTGATGTCTAGGGTTCCAAACCCGCTCTAGTCGTGATACTACAACAACCTGATGTCTAGGGTTCCAATCCCACTCTAGTCGCGATACTACAACAACCTGATGTATAGGGTTCCAATCCCGCTCTGGTTGCGATACTATAACAACCTGATGTCTAGGGTTCCAATCCCACTCTAGTCGTGATACTATAACAACCTGATGTATAGGGTTCCAATCCCGCTCTGGTTGCGATACTATAACAACCTGATGTCTAGGGTTCCAACCCTACCCTAGTCGCGATACTACAACAACCTGATGTCTAGGGTTCCAATCCCACTCTAGTCGCGATACTACAACAACCTGATGTATAGGGTTCCAATCCCACTCTAGTCGCGATACTTAACAACCTGATGTCTAGGGCTCCAATCCCGCTCTAGTCGCGATACTATAACAACCTGATGTCTAGGGTTCCAATCCAACTCTAGTCGCGATACTACAACAACCTGATGTCTAGGGTTCCAATCCCACTCTAGTCGTGATACTATAACAACCTGATGTATAGGGTTCCAATCCCGCTCTAGATGCGATACTATAACAACCTGATGTCTAGGGTTCCAATCCCACTCTAGTCGCGATACTACAACAACCTGATGTCTAGGGTTCCAATCCTACTCTAGTCGCGATACTACAACAACCTGATGTCTAGGGTTCCAAACCCGCTCTAGTCGTGATACTACAACAACCTGATGTATAGGGTTCCAATCCCGCTCTGGTTGCGATACTATAACAACCTGATGTCTAGGGTTCCAAGCCTACCCTAGTCGCGATACTACAACAACCTGATGTCTAGGGTTCCAATCCTACTCTAGTCGCGATACTACAACAACCTGATGTATAGGGTTCCAATCCCACTCTAGTCGCGATACTACAACAACCTGATGTATAGGGTTCCAATCCCACTCTAGTCGCGATACTACAACAACCTGATGTCTAGGGTTCCAATCCCGCTGTAGACGCGATACTATAACAACCTGATGTCTAGGGTTCCAATCCCGCTCTAGTCGCGATACTACAATAACCTCAACATTGATATCACATGAGAGAACAGGTTTCTGTGGCTGAATGTAATTCATGTAAAATAATTAAATCCTTTGCTGTTTATCAAAATTTAACAAATATGTGAATTACTATAAAATTATTTTTTATAATCTTTTCTTCTTATGACTAATAGCTTTTTATGAGTTATAGATTGAGTTAATTTAATACAATCCAAATATTAAAGGAAGTGAATAGGGACTCATATAGGTAAACCTAACTCCCAGTTACTGTCCATGAGAATTTTACTTCCAAAGTGGTCCTGAACTTTTCTTTTTTTAAACAAAAAACTCGGTCGGGCTGTAACACTCAGTATAACTAATTTTGCTAATGATTAAGCACATATATGATTGAAGGGTCGTGATATTAACTGTTTAAAGCTATGTCCCAAGGATAGAGTCCCCAGGGGCTGGCATGACGCTGATGGCAATGATGGTAGCTCGAGTGTATTCATCTCTTGAAGCCAAACATTTGCATATATATAGTGATAGGGTGGAGATTACAACTGTTTCCAAATTACAACCCAAGTCCCTTTGGGTGGGGCAAGACCAAAAAACATTCCTGATAGCATATTCATGTTTGTCTTTTCATGCACAGCAGTTCTATCAGTGGCTATTAGGTGAGGATTTTAACCTTTTCCATGATATGACAAATGATCTTCATCCCTTGGGGCAGGGCCGGACCCTGTTGCTTATCCTGGTAGCATATGTGCAATCATCTCCTCATTCCCAGCAAGTATTGTTAGTGGTTGGGAATCTCAACTGTTTCTGTATTATGACCAAAGGAATAAGTCCCAAGGTGTGGGGCCTGACCCAAGGGTTGATCTTGGCAGAATTTGATTTTAATCTACATGGTAACCAAGCAGATATATGGTTATAGAGTAGGAATCTCAACTATTTCTTATAGATTACCATTTTTTTGGTCCCCACTCGGCCCTAAGCTTCTGTTGGTATTTTTTTTAAGTCATCATTACTTGAGAATGCTTCCAACTAGATAAGATAAATATTCATCCTAAAGTGTCTCCAATCCCCTTGTTTGGACATCTTTTATCATAAAACACCTGAGGACGATACTAGGGGAGCTATCACCACAATACAAGGTATTACATACATGAATGAACATCAGAATTACAACTCCAACTCATCTTTTATTTCTTATGTATTGATTTTTTTAAATCTTCAATTTATTGCATAAGATTGTAGATATAACATGTAATTAAGCTGTCCTAATTCTACATCTTGCAGATTTCTAAGTAAACAATCAAGACAAACACCTCAGCAGTACCTACCCCGCCTCCTGATATCAGCAAGCTGTTTCTCTCCACATACACCAGACTACTGACATACCTGGAAATAATCACCAGATTATACATTTTAAGATCCAAAGACAACAAAACACTCTCTAGAAAACAGGGAGGCTTAAACAGGTTTACTCAATATGTCATCACTAATAACATTGCTTCATATCTTAGAAACATACAGCAAGTATCTGATAAACCAAGTTCCCTTTTATTCAACAGACATAAAATCAGATTACTGATTTCTGTAGCAGATAAAATAATATATTAATACAAAAATATTATGACCAGGAAAGTCAGATTACTAACCCTTAATGCCCCAAAGAGAATATCAGATTACTCACCCTTTATGTCCCTAACAACATGACAGAATGTCAGAATACTCACCTTTTATGTCCCAGACAGAATGTCAGATTACTTACCCTTTATGTCCAGATACAGAATGTCAGATTACTCACCCTTTATGTCCCTGACAGAATGTCAGATTACTTACCCTTTATGTCCCAGACAGAATGTCAGATTACTTACCCTTTATGTCCCAAAACAGAATGTCAGATTACTCACCCTTTATGTCCAAGACAGAATGTCAGATTACTCACCCTAAATGCCCCCCAGACAGAATGTCAGATTACTCACCTTTTATGTCCCAGACAGAATGTCAGTTTACTGACACCCTTTATGTCCCAGATAGAATGTCTGATTACTCACCCTTTATGTCCCAGACAGAATGTCAGATTACTCGCCCTTTATGTCTAAGACAGAATGTCAGATTACTCGCCCTTTATGTCCCAGACATAATGTCAGATTACTCACCCTGTATGTCTCAGACAGAATGTCAGATTACTCGTCTGTATGTCCAAGACAGAATGTCAGATTACTCACCCTTTATGTCCCAGAGAGAATGGTATATTACTCAACCTTTATGTCACAGATAGAATGTCAGATTACTCACCCTTTATTTCCCATACAGAATGTTAGATTACTCACCCTGTATGTCCCAGACAGAATGTCAGATTACTCGTCTGTATGTCCAAGACAGAATGTCAGATTACTGACACCCTTTATGTTCCAGACAGAATGTCAGATTACTCACCGTTTATGTCCCAGACGGAATGTCAGATAACTCACCCTAAATGTCCCCAAGACAGAATGTCAGATTACTCACTCTAAATGCCCCCCAGACAGAATGTCAGATTACTCACCTTTTATGTCCCAGACAGAATGTCAGTTTACTGCCACCCTTTATGTCCCAGATAGAATGTCTGATTACTCACCCTTTATGTCCCAGACAGAATGTCAGATTACTCGCCCTTTATGTCCAAGACAGAATGTCAGATTACTCGCCCTTTATGTCCCAGACAGAATGTCAGATTACTCACCCTGTATGTCTCAGACAGAATGTCAGATTACTCGCCCTGTATATCCAAGACAGAATGTCAGATTACTCACCCTTTATGTCCCAGACAGAATGGTATATTACTCAACCTTTATGTCACAGACAGAATGTCAGATTACTCACCCTTTATGTCCCTGACAGAATGTCAGATTACTCACCCTTTATGTCCCAGACAGAATGTTAGATTACTCACCCTGTATGTCCAAGACAGAATGTCAGATTACTGACACCCTTTATGTCCCAGACAGAATGTCAGATTACTCACCCTTTATGTCCCAGACGGAATGTCAGATTACTCACCCTTTATGTCCAAGACGGAATGTCAGATTACTCACCCTTTATGTCCCAGATAGAATGTCAGATTACTCATCCTTTATGCCCAAGATAGAATGTCAGATTAATCATCCTTTATGTCCCAGACAGAATGTCAGGTTACTCACCCTTTATCTCTCAGACAGAATGTCAGATTACTCACCCTTTATGTCCCAGACAGAATGTCAGATTACTCACCCTTTATGTCCCAGATAGAATGTCAGATTACTCACCCTGTATGTCTCAGACAGAATGTCATATTACTCACCCTGTATGTCCCAGACAGAATGTCAGATTACTTATTTTTTATGTCCCAGACAGAATTCAGATTACCCACCCTTTATGTCCAAGACAGAATGTCAGATTACTCACCCTTTATGTCCCAGATAGAATGTCAGATTACTCACCCTTAATGTCCCAGACAGAATGTCAGATTACTGACACCATTATGTCCCAGATAGAATGTCAGATTACTCACCCTTTATGTCCCAGACAGAATGTCAGATTACTCGCCCTTTATGTCCAAGACAGAATGTCAGATTACTCGCCGTTTATGTCCCAGACAGAATTTCAGATTACTCACCCTGTATGTTTCAGACAGAATGTCAGATTACTCGCCCTTTATGTCCAAGACAGAATGTCAGATTACTCACCCTTTATGTCCCAGACAGAATGTTATATTACTCACCCTTTATGTCACAGACAGAATGTCATATTAATCACCCTTTATGTCCCTGACAGAATGTCAGATTACTCACCCTTTATGTCCCAGACAGAGTGTTAGATTACTCACCCTGTATGTCCAAGACAGAATGTCAGAATACTGACACCCTTTATGTCCAAGACAGAATTTCAGATTACTCGCCCTTTATGTCCCAGACAGAATGTCAGATTACTCACCCTTTATGTCCATGACAGAATGTCAGATTACTTACCCTTTATGTCCCAAAACAGAATGTCAGATTACTCACCCTTTATGCCCCCGACAGAATGTCAGATTACTCACCCTGTATGTCTCAAACATAATGTCAGATTACTTATTTTTTATGCCCAAGACAGAATGTCAGATTACTTACCCTTTATGTCCCAGACAGAATGTCAGACTACTCACCCGTTATGACCCAAACAGAATGTCAGATTACTCACCCTTTATGTCCTAGATAGAATGTCAGATTACGCCCTCTTTATGCCCCAGATAGAATGTCAGATTACGCCCTCTTTATGCCCCAGATAGAATGTCAGATTACTGACACCCTTTATGTTCCAGACAGAATGTCAGTTTACTGACACCCTTTATGTTCCAGACAGAATGTCAGAATACTGACACCCTTTATGTCCCATATAGAATGTCATATTCCTCACCCTTTATGTCGCAGACAGAATGTCAGTTTACTGACACCCTTTATGTCCAAGACAAAATGTCAGATTACTCGTCTGTATGTCCAAGACAGAATGTCAGATTACTCACCCTTTATGTCCCAGACAGAATGTCAGATTACTCCCTCTTTATGCCCCTGATAGAATGTCAGATTACTCACCCTTTATGTCCCAGATAGAATGTCATATTACTCACCCTTTATGTCCCAGACAGAATGTCAGATTACTCACCCTGTATGTCCCAGACAGAATGTCAGATTACTTACCCTTTATGTCCTAGACAGAATGTCAGATTACTTACCCTTTATGTCCCTGACAGAATGTCAGATTACTCACCCTTTATGTCCCAGACAGAATGTCAGACTATTCACCCTTTATGTCTTAGACAGAATGTCAGATTACTCACCCTTTATGTCCTAGATAGAATGTCAGATTACTCACCCTTTAGGTACCAAACAGTATGTTAGATTACTCACCCTTTATGTGTCAGACAGAATGTCAGACTACTCACCCTTTATGTCCAAGACAAAATGTCAGATTACTCACCCTTTATGTCCCAGACAAAATGTCAGATTACTCACCCTTTATGTCCCAGACAGAATGTCAGATTATTTGCCCTTTATGTCCCAGACAGAATGTCATATTACTCACCCTTTATGTCCCAGACAGAATGTCAGATTATTTGCCCTTTATGTCCCAGACAGAATGTCATATTACTCACCCTTTATGTCCCAGACAGAATGTCATATTACTCATCCTTTATGTCCCTGACAGAATGTCAGATTACTCACCCTGTATGTCCCTGACAGAATGTTATATTACTCACCCTTTATGTCCCAGACAGAATGTCAGATTACTCAACCTTTATGTCCCAGACAGAATGTCAGATTACTCCCCCTTTATGCCCCAGACAGAATGTCAGATTACTCACCCTGTATGTCTCAAACATAATGTCAGATTACTTATTTTTTATGCCCAAGACAGAATTCAGATTACTTACCCTTTATGTCCCAGACAGAATGTCAGACTACTCACCCCTTATGACCCAAACAGAATGTCAGATTACTCACCCTTTATGTCCCAGACAGAATGTCAGATTACTCACCCTTTATGTCCCAGACAGAATGTCAGATCACTCACCCTTTATGCCCCATACAGAAGGTGTGGATGTTGTAACAGTTAGGATAATGACTGACCCTGATCTTCTCATCTCTATCACAGGTCACAATGTACTTGTCATCATTGGTCAAGACCTGTCAGTACATACAAATATCAGTTGTTATTGTGAAATAGGGAGATAATATATCAAAACTACTACCCAAAATGATTCACCTTTGTTTTCCACAAGAATGTATATGTTTTACCTAGGTATAAGACAGAAGAATTCTGGGAAAGTTTAGAAAGAGGAATATTGGTTATTCTATGGAAGGGTTGTGCGTAATGTACCAGGAAATCTATCTTTGGGCATAATGTAATAGTATTCTTGGTAATGTAAAAAGTTTGTGGATAACCTACCACATCCAGCAACATGGAGAGATGTCCAAGCATGAGTTGTGCCCCTTTGTCATCCTCTCCTGAGTTCCCCTCTGTGTATCCTTCCTTAACATTGTACCTGTACACATCCCCAGTTTTGTCTGCAACAAGAACTTGGAGGTCATCCTGAGTAAAGGTCACTGAGGTACAACGACGAGGAAGCTCTCTATAAAGATAAAAAAAAAATCAAATCATCAACAACAATATATTTGCATTCAGTCATTTAATAACAAATTTTAATTTTTCTTCTTCCATGCTTGCAATGATCCAATGGTCTGGATTGAAAGTTTATTCTTTTTTGGGTTTTGGGGGGGGGGGGGGGGGGGGGAATTGCCATGTGACTGCAATCAATATTTCCCAAATCTTATTTCACATGAACATGTTACCATGACAAAAGCTGTACAATATATTTATGAACCTGTCCAATGTTACTACCAGCACTCCTAAACATGCTTTGGAAAGACTTGTCTACCTCAGCTGACTGGAGCTGGATATAAAGTTCTACATCTGACTACAACCACCATGTACTACGGCCATAGACATGTTGACCCTTGCATGACCTCAGCATTACCTAAAAGTGCTGGTCTTGCACTAAACCCTCATCAATAATAGATTTCAGACGAACTGTTACACATCCTTCCTACATTAACATTGTCAGGCAAGCATATCTAGTTATCATGCAGATTTCATTCTTACAACAAAAAAAAACAACACCAAGAGGTCAATAGGGCCTGCATTGCTCACCTGGTGTGATATTTCCTGGATGGCTCATTAGAAAACGTTGTTTGAATTTTTTTACACATTTGATCTTTGCAACAATGAATGTGGGTCAGGAATTCCCAATAAGGAAACCATGAAGTTTTTTTCCTGCGATATTAAACGTACGGTAGGATATTAATTGAAACAATAGAAAAGAATTATTTGGGCTTATGATTCGATCATGAGGTGATTGTCACGGAAACAACGGTGGTGACAAGTTTTAGAAACATAACATATTTATCAGTGATAACATTCCTATTACCATGCTGTGAAAAAATTACAAACTGAAAACTTCCCCAAACAGTATAGCAACTATAAAACAAGAGGCCCAGAGGGCCTGTATCGCTCACCTGAATATGTTTAAAATAATTGGTATGAAGTAGGTGCTGTAAGTACATATGAAATTTCAGAAAGATCCATCCAGTACTTGAGATATAGCGAGAACAAACTTCAAACAGAGCCCCACCCCTATATGCAACTTAGGGGGGTCATACCCACCAATTATACAAAATTGATTCCCCTTGACGCAAGGATGCTCCAGACTAAATAAGGATAAAATCCCATAATCCCGATGGTCGAAGAAGGATTTTAAAGTTTTACCTCTATTTCTCCTATTGGGTGGGGGTGGGGGGGTGGGGGGTTCTCCTTTACCAAAGGATGCACCACACCAAATATGGAACAAATCCTTTCATTCCTACAGAAGAAGAAGGATTTTAAAGAATTTGCTATGTTTCCCCTATTGGGCCCCACCCCTCAGGCCCTTGGGTTACCACACCCACGATTTATACGAAATTGGTTCCCCTTCACCCAAGGATGCTTCTGCCAAATATGGAACAAATCCTTTCATTCCTACAGAAGAAGAAGGATTTTAAAGAATAATTTGCTATGTGTCCCCTATTTGCCCCGCCCCTCAGGCCCCTGGGGCCACACCCATGGTTTATGCAAAATTTGTTCCCCTTCTCCCAAGAATGCTTCTGACCAAATATGGAACAAATCCTTTCATTCCTGCAGAAGATGAAGGATTTNAAAATTGTTATATTCCCCTGTTTTGCCACGCTCTCAGCCCCCAGGGGAGCCAGATCCACGGTTTATACAAAATTGGTTCCCCTTCACCCAAGGATGCTTCAGCCCAAATATGGACTAAATCCTTTCATTCCTACATAAGAAGAAGGATTTTAAAGAATTTGCTATATTTCCCTTATTGGGCCCCGCCCCTCAGCCCCCAGGGGGGCCAGACCCACGGTTTATACAAAATTGTTTCCCCTTCACCCAAGGATGCTTCTGACCAAATATGGAAAAATCATTTCATTCCTACAGAAGAAGAAGAATTTTAAAGAATTTGCTATATTTCCCCTATTGGGCCCCGCCACTTAGGCCCCTGGGGGCCAGACCCACGGTTTATACAAAATTGGTTCCCCTTCACCCAGGGATGATTCAGACTAAATATGGAACAAATCCTTTCATTCCTACAGTAGAAGAAGGATTTTAAAGAATTTGCTATATTTCCCATATTGGGCTCCGCCCATCAGACCCCAGGGGGGCAAGACCCACGGTTTATACAAAATTGGTCCCCCTTCCCCCAAGGATGCTTCTGACCAAATATGGACCAAATCCTTTCATTCCTACAGAAGAAGAAGGATTTTAAAGAATTTGCTATAATTCCCCTATTGGGCCCTGCCCCTCACTCCCCAGGGGAGCCAGACCCACGGTTTATACAAAATTTGTTCCCTTTCCCCCAAGGATGCTTAATTCTGACCAAATATGGACCAAATCCTTTCATTCCTACAGAAGAACGATTTTAAAGAATTTGCTATATTTCCCCTATTGGGCCCCACCCCTCAGCCCCCAGGGGGGCCAGACCCATCTTTTCTACAAAATTGATTCCCCTTGGCCTAAGGATGCTCCAGACCAAATTTAATCCAAATCTACTGGGCCGTTCAGGACAAGCAGCGTTTTAAAAGAAAAGTTGACGGACGGACGACGGATGACGGACGCTGCACCATGGCATAAGCTGTCACTTGCCCTTCCGGCAGGTGAGCTAAAAACAAGATGTTACAAAAGCATGAGTAAAAAATAGCTTTTAGATTGAAGTCAAGATTGCAACTTAATACATTGATGTCTAATGATGCATTTGGACTGCTCCATATCAAAGGATAGCATAGTCCATTGACAAAATACAGGGGTGAATGAGTTAAATAATGCATTCTAGTGATAAATCAGTTAGAGGGGTAAGCTGGGAATTGATGGCTAGTAGGAGATGTCACAGAGATGTTTAATTATCTAGTACCAGAGTAAGTAAAGCCTTGTCACGACCCTGACCTATGTCAACCCAGACAAGCAAGTCTGGCATACTCAGATATAGAGAATACAAACTTTTCATTAGTGTCCCGGTCCTACAGTACCTATATACTGTCAGTGCTGTGGTACATGTAGGATTATAATCAGCGTCTAATCACCGAAACTGGGGACCGTAGTTCCTGGCATCTTATCTTTAAAACAGGACCTGTTCATTTGTACTTGTACAAAGTGATGTAGGATAGCGGGTTCCTACACTCCAATTCAGACAGCTTAATGTTTCTACTGATGTCTTTATAGATACAGCAAGTGCCGAGACTTGTTGTACATGTTCCTTGAAAACAGACCCCCGAAAAACTTGTGAATGACATTTGTATGGTAAAAGTATCAAACATTCTCACTCTGACAGGAATATCAAATGTATAAACTCCCTGCAAGCAGATTGAAGCTTTTCTCATGAAAATATGCAATTCATGTTGTCGTGACATATTCCATGACCTAGACAATCATTTAAGTCAGTAAAATTAATTAATTGTACCTATACAAATTAGTTTTGAACAAAATATGTGGTGGGCAAGTTTTGATGGTTAATGAAACCTGTTCAAGTTGTTAATAAACTGAAATTTTGAAACTTAAACTAATTGGCAAAAACAAAATGAAGAAAAAAACAATATTAAACAAACAATAATTTATGAATGATGAATAAGTTTAAAGATGAGTATAGTTTTTGTGTGACACTACCAGACCTAACTGTGATAAGTGTATGTACACTACTGGGTTTCACTGATCACCACTCTTCACTACACACTGTACCTGTACAGAGGGCTAATCAAACCCACTTAATTAAAACTCATTGCATTAATTACTGTTTAATTTTTCAAAATTGCCACCTTCCTCGTAGAAATAATGTCGCCATTATATATCAAAAGTTGGAGTTATTTAATGAAATGTACAGGCTTTTCATCACCTGTATAATTATGCATATCACTTTCGTTAATTAACACTAAGAAATAAGCATGTACTTTTATCCTTTGTAACGACCTTGACCTTTGAGTTAGGTGTACCATGTGATGAATGGTTTCCATAGTAACTATTCCTAAAATGGTACAAAAGAAAAAAGCACTAAACTCTATTGGAACTTAAAATTAATTACACTACTCTGTGAATTGAATATTTCTTTCCAGTAAAAAACCTAAAATTCAGCATTTATTTATTTATCAGGCTATCTGACTGGAGTGTAAGTGATGGGAGTTTGCCTTTCTCTCTCATCACATGCTTTGTTCTTTCTATGGAAATGGAAGGGAAAAAACCGTGAGTAATAGAGCGAGGAATTAGCGGGGATGTCATCTGACTGCTGGTAGATTACTCGACATCTTTCATTCTGTTGTTTTTACCGACACACACTTCCTGATGAGAAATTGGCGCACAAAAGGTATTTGTATTTAATGATCGAAAATCAACATCCTCCCAGGGGAGCAGAGAAATCCATTATCAGTGATTATACATCATGAGGGACAGATCCCATCATCTAGATCTCTACAATGTTTTATGTACGTCAAACATTTCTACGACCAGGCTACATTTCTGTTTACACTCACACTGAATCTCGTAGAATGATAAATTTATTGTTACCTTCGCAGTCTTTTAGAATTCATGAGATTTATTTTGCTAGTTTGCTGTTCCTCTTTACAAGCTGAAAGAAAATCCTAGCACAGCAAGCTAGTTCACAGTTATGAGATGAAGTTCATTAACGTTGTTATCAAAATACATTTGAAAACTTTCGCAAGTAACAAATCACAGAAACAGGCCAACAACTAGCATCAATTTACCCACGGTGCCATGCCATGCTAATCTTGTAACCGCAACCATGAAAGCAATTATTTTAAAACTTCAGAAATGGTAACTTCAAATTTCAATTTAGAAAACCAACTTTTTCAGGTAATATCATTTAAAAAGAGGTACTCCACAGGAGCTAAGGTATCCAGTAAAATATGTGGTATTTGATGACATCACCCTAACAACAAATCTGTGGTAATTACCATGGTAGTTGAAATGTTTGTAGAGGGGGTTGCCATGGATACCACATGGAGGCAACTGCGGTTTATGTTGCTG